AGAACTCCCTTTTCATAGAGCAGAACTCCCTTTTCAAATAGCGAAGCTTTCCTTTCAAATAGCAGAACTCCCTTTTCAAATAGCTGAACTCCCTTTTCAAAGGCAGAACTCCCTTTTCAAATAGCGGAGCTTTCCTTTCAAAGAGGAGAACTCACTTTTCAAACAGCAGAACTCTCTTTTCAAATAGCCAAGCTTTCCTTTCAAATAGTAGAACTCCCTTTTCAAATAGCTGAACTCCCTTTTCATATAGGAGAACTCCCTTTTCAAATTGGTAAGCCTTCCTTTCAAAGAGCTGAACTCACTTTTCAAATCGCAGAACTTCCTGTCAAAAAGCAGCACTCCCTTTTCAAATAGCAGAACTCCCTTTCCAAAAGCAGAACTCCCTTTTCAAATAGGGGAGCTTTCCTTTCAAATAGCAGAACTCCCTTTTCAAATAGCAGAACTCCTCTTTCAAATAGCAGAACTCCCTTTTCAAATAGCCAAGCTTTCCTTTCAAATAGCAGAACTCCCTTTTCAAATAGCAGACTTTCCTTTTCAAATAGCAGAACTCCCTATTCAAATAGCGAATTTTCCTTTCAAATAGCAGTACTCCCTTTTCAAATAGCAGAACTTCCTTTTCAAATAACAGGACTTGCTTTTCAAATAGCAGAACTCCCTTTTCAATTAATGAAACTTTCCTTTGAAACAGCAGAACTTCCTTTTCACATAGCAGAACTCCCTTTTGAAATAGCCAAGCTTTCCTTTCATATATCTGAACCCCCTTTTCAAATAGCAGAACTCCCTTTCAAATACCAGAACTACCTTTTCAAAAGCAAAACTCCCTTTTTAAATAGCAGAACTCCCTTTTCAAATAGCCAAGCTTTCCTTTCAAATAGCAAAACTCCCTTTCAAATAGCAGAAATCCCTTTTCAAATAGCAGAACTCCCTTTTCAAAAGCAGAACTCCCTTTTGAAATAGCGGAGCTTTCCTTTCAAAGAGCAGAACTCCTTTTTTATATAGCAGAACTGGCTTTTCAAATAGCCAAGCTCTCCTTTCAAATAGCAGAAGTCCCTTTTCAAATAGCAGAACTTCCTTTTCATGCAGCAGAACTCCCTTTCGAATAGCAGAACTCCCTTTTCAAATAGCATGACACCCGTTTCAAAAGGAGAACTCCCTTTTCAAATAGCCGAGCTTTCTTTTCAAAGAGCAGAACTCCCTTTTCAAATAGCGGAGGCCTCCTTTCAAAGAACAGACAGAACTCCCTTTTCAAATAGCGGAGCTCCCTTTTCAAATAGCAGGACTTGCTTTTCAAATAGCAGAACTCCTTTTCAAATAGCGAAGCTTTCCTTTCAAACAGCAAAACTCCCTTTTCAAATAGCAGAACTCCCTTTTCCAATAGCCGAGCTTTCCTTTCAAATAGCAGAACTGCCTTTTCAAATAGCAGACTTTCCTTTACAAGTAGCAGAACTCCTTTTCATGCTGCAAAACTCTCTTTCAAATAGCAGAACTCCCTTTCCAAATAGGAGAACACCCTTTTCAAAAGCAGAACTCCCTTTTCAAACAGAGGAGCTTTCTTTTCAAAGAGCAGAACTCCCTTTTCAAATAGCGAATTTTCCTTTCAAATAGCAGAACTCCTTTTTCAAATAGCAGAACTTCATTTTCAAATGGCAGGACTTGCTTTTCAAATAGCAGAACTCCCTTTTCAAATGGCGAAGCTTTCCTTTCAAACAGCAGAGCTCCCTTTTCATATAGCAGAGCTCTCTTTTCAAATAGCCAAGCTTTCCTTTCAAATATCTGAACTCCCTTTTCAAATAGCAGAACTCCCTTTAAAATAGCAGAACTCCCTTTTCAAATAGCCAAGCTTTCCTTTCAAATAGCAGAACTCCCTTTTCAAATAGCAGAACTCCCTTTTCAAATAGCAGAACTTCATTTTCAAATAGCAGGACTTGCTTTTCAAATAGCCAAGCTTTCCTTTCAAATAGCAGAACTCCCTTTTCAAATAGCAGACTTTCCTTTTCAAATAGCAGAACTCCCTATTCAAATAGCGAATTTTCCTTTCAAATAGCAGTACTCCCTTTTCAAATAGCAGAACTTCCTTTTCAAATAACAGGACTTGCTTTTCAAATAGCAGAACTCCCTTTTCAATTAATGAAACTTTCCTTTGAAACAGCAGAACTTCCTTTTCACATAGCAGAACTCCCTTTTGAAATAGCCAAGCTTTCCTTTCATATATCTGAACCCCCTTTTCAAATAGCAGAACTCCCTTTCAAATACCAGAACTACCTTTTCAAAAGCAAAACTCCCTTTTTAAATAGCAGAACTCCCTTTTCAAATAGCCAAGCTTTCCTTTCAAATAGCAAAACTCCCTTTCAAATAGCAGAAATCCCTTTTCAAATAGCAGAACTCCCTTTTCAAAAGCAGAACTCCCTTTTGAAATAGCGGAGCTTTCCTTTCAAAGAGCAGAACTCCTTTTTTATATAGCAGAACTGGCTTTTCAAATAGCCAAGCTCTCCTTTCAAATAGCAGAAGTCCCTTTTCAAATAGCAGAACTTCCTTTTCATGCAGCAGAACTCCCTTTCGAATAGCAGAACTCCCTTTTCAAATAGCATAACACCCGTTTCAAAACCAGAACTCCCTTTTCAAATAGCGGAGCTTTCTTTTCAAAGAGCAGAACTCCCTTTTCAAATAGCGGAGGCCTCCTTTCAAAGAACAGACAGAACTCCCTTTTCAAATAGCGGAGCTCCCTTTTCAAATAGCAGGACTTGCTTTTCAAATAGCAGAACTCCCTTTTCAAATAGCGAAGCTTTCCTTTCAAACAGCAAAATTCCCTTTTCAAATAGCAGAACTCCCTTTTCCAATAGCCGAGCTTTCCTTTGAAATAGCAGAACTGCCTTTTCAAATAGCAGACTTTCCTTTACAAGTAGCAGAACTTCATTTTCAAATAGCAGGACTTGCTTTTCAAATAGCAGAAACCCTTTTCAAATGGCGAAGCTTTCCTTTCAAACAGCAGAACTCCCTTGTCATATAGCAGAACTCCCTTTTCAAATAGCCAAGCTTTCCTTTCAAATATCTGAACTCCCTTTTCAAATAGCAGAACTCCCTTTAAAATAGCAGAACTCCCTTTTCAAATAGCCAAGCTTTCCTTTCAAATAGCAGAACTCCCTTTTCAAATAGCAGAACTCCCCTTTCAAATAGCAGAACTCCCTTTTCAAATAGCCAAGCTTTCCTTTCAAATAGCAGAACTCCCTTTTCAAATAGCAGACTTTCCTTTTCAAATAGCAGAACTCCCTATTCAAATAGCGAATTTTCCTTTCAAATAGCAGTACTCCCTTTTCAAATAGCAGAACTTCCTTTTCAAATAACAGGACTTGCTTTTCAAATAGCAGAACTCCCTTTTCAATTAATGAAACTTTCCTTTGAAACAGCAGAACTTCCTTTTCACATAGCAGAACTCCCTTTTGAAATAGCCAAGCTTTCCTTTCATATATCTGAACCCCCTTTTCAAATAGCAGAACTCCCTTTCAAATACCAGAACTACCTTTTCAAAAGCAAAACTCCCTTTTTAAATAGCAGAACTCCCTTTTCAAATAGCCAAGCTTTCCTTTCAAATAGCAAAACTCCCTTTCAAATAGCAGAAATCCCTTTTCAAATAGCAGAACTCCCTTTTCAAAAGCAGAACTCCCTTTTGAAATAGCGGAGCTTTCCTTTCAAAGAGCAGAACTCCTTTTTTATATAGCAGAACTGGCTTTTCAAATAGCCAAGCTCTCCTTTCAAATAGCAGAAGTCCCTTTTCAAATAGCAGAACTTCCTTTTCATGCAGCAGAACTCCCTTTCGAATAGCAGAACTCCCTTTTCAAATAGCATGACACCCGTTTCAAAAGGAGAACTCCCTTTTCAAATAGCGGAGCTTTCTTTTCAAAGAGCAGAACTCCCTTTTCAAATAGCGGAGGCCTCCTTTCAAAGAACAGACAGAACTCCCTTTTCAAATAGCGGAGCTCCCTTTTCAAATAGCAGGACTTGCTTTTCAAATAGCAGAACTCCATTTTCAAATAGCGAAGCTTTCCTTTCAAACAGCAGAACTCCCTTTTCAAATAGCAGAACTCCCTTTTCCAATAGCCGAGCTTTCCTTTCAAATAGCAGAACTGCCTTTTCAAATAGCAGACTTTCCTTTACAAGTAGCAGAACTCCTTTTCATACTGTAAAACTCTCTTTCAAATAGCAGAACTTCCTTTCCAAATAGGAGAACACCCTTTGCAAAAGCAGAACTCCCTTTTCAAACAGAGGAGCTTTCTTTTCAAAGAGCAGAACTCCCTTTTCAAATAGCGAATTTTCCTTTCAAATAGCAGAACTCCCTTTTCAAATAGCAGAATTTCATTTTCAAATAGCAGGACTTGCTTTTCAAATAGCAGAACACCCTTTTCAAATAGCGAAGCTTTCCTTTCAAACAGCAGAACTCCCTTTTCATATAGCAGAACTCCCTTTTCTAATAGCGAAGCTTTCCTTTCAAATAGCTGAACTCCCTTTCCAAATAGCTGAACTCCCTTTTCAAAAGCAGAACTCCCTTTTCAAATAGCGGAGCTTTCGTTTCGAAAAGGAGAACGCAGTTTTCAAACAGCAGAACTCCCTTTTCAAATAGCGAAGCTTTCCTTTCAAATAGCAGAACTCCCTTTTCAAATAGCAGAACTCCCTTTTCATATAGCAGAACTCCCTTTTCAAATAGCTAAGCTTTCCTTTCAAAGAGCTGAACTCACTTTTCGAATAGCAGAACTCCCTTTCAAATAGCAGAACGCCCTTTTCAAATAGCAGAACCCCCTTTCCAAAAGCAGATCTCTCTTTTCAAACAGCAGAACTTCCTTTTCAAAGAGGAGAATTCCCTTTCATATAGAAAGACTCCCGTTTCAAATGGCAGAACTCCCTTTTCAAATAGCAGAAAATCCTTTTCCAAAGCGCAGATCTACCTTTTCAAATAGCTGAACTCCCTTTTCAAATGGCTGAACTCCCTTTTCAAATAGCGGAACTACCTAGTAAAATAACAGAACTCCCTTTTGAAAGAGCGGAATTCCCTTTTCAAATGGCGGAGCTTTCTCTTGAAATAGCAGAACTCCCTTTTCGATGGGGAGATTTCCCTTTTCAAATACCTGAACTCCCTTTTCAAACAGAAGAACTCTCTTTTTAAACAGCAGAACTACCTAGTCAAATAGCAGAACGCCCTTTTTAAATAGCAGAACTACTGTTTCAAAACCAGATCTCCAATTTCGAACAGAAGAAGTCCAGAGGAGAACTCCCTTTTCAAATACCAGAAGTCCCTTTTCAAATAGCGGAGCCGTCTTTTCAAAGAGGAGACAGAACTCCCTTTTCAAATAGCAGAACTCCCTTTTCAAATAGCGAAGCATTCCTTTCAAATAGCAGAACTCCCTTTCAAAAGAGCATAACTCCTCTTGAAATAGCAGAACTCCCGTTACAAATAGCAGATCTACCTTTTCAAAAAGCTGATCTCTCTTTTCAAATGGCAGAACTCCCTTATCAAATAGGAGAATTCTCTTTTCAAATAACGGAGCTTTCTCTTCAAATACCAGAACTCCGTTTTCAAAGACAACATCTCTCTTTTCAAATATCTGAGCTCCCTTTTCAAATAGCAGAACTCGGTTTTCTTATAGAAGACCACCTAGTCAAATAGCAGAACTCCCTTTTTAAATAGCAAAACTGCCTTTTCAAACGCCAGATCTCCAATTTCGAACAAAGGAAATCCCTTTTCAAAGAGCAGAAGTTTCTTTCGAAATAGCAGGGCTCCCTTTTCAAATAGCGCGACTTTCTTTTCAAATAGCAGAACTCCCGTTTCAAAGAGCAGATATCCCTTTTCAAATAGCAGAACTTCGTCTTCAAAGAGGAGAACTCCCTTTCATATAGAAAGACTCCCGTTTCAAAGAGCAGAATTCCCTTTTCAAATAGCAGAAAATCCTTTTCCAAAGCGCAGAACTACCTTTTCAAATTGCTGAACTCCCTTTTCAAATAGCTGAACTCCCTTTTCAAATAGCGGAACTACCTAGTAAAATAGCAGAACTCACTTTGCAAAGAGCGGAATTCCCTTTTCAAATAGCGGAGGTTTCTCTTGAAATAGCAGTACTCCCTTTTCAAAGAGCAGATCTCCCTTTTCAAATAGCTGAACTCCCTTCTCAAATAGCAGAACTACCTAGTCAAATACCAGAACTCCCTTTTTAAATAGCAGCACTCCCTTTTTAAATAGCAGAACTCCCCTTTCAAAAACCAGATCCCCTATTTCGAACATAAGAATTCCCTTTTCAAAGAGCGGATGTCCCTTTTCAAATAGCAGAACTGCCTTGTCAGATAGGGGAGTTTTTTTTTCAAAGAGCAGACATAACTCCCTTTTCAAATAGCAGGACTCACTATTCAAATAGCGGAGCATTCCTTTCAAATAGCAGAACTCCCTTTCAAAAGAGCAGAACTCCTCTTCAAAAAGCTGAACTCCCTTTTCAAATGGCAGAACTCCCTTAGCAATTAGGAGAACTCCCTTTCAAGTAGAAGAACTCCCTTTTCAAAGAGCAGAACTCCTTTTTGAAATAGCAGAATTCTCTTTTCAAATAGCGGAGCTTTCTCTTCAAATAGCAGAACTCCCTTTTCGAAGACTAGATCTCTCTTTTCAAATAGCTGAGCGCCTTTTCAAATAGCAGAACTCCGTTTTCTTATAGCAGAACTACCTAGTCAAATAGCAGAACTTCCTTTTTAAAGACCAGAACTCCCTTTTCGAAAACCAGAACTCCAATTTCAAATGCAGAACTCCCTTTTCAAATAGCGGACGTTTCCTTTCAAATAGCAGATCTCCCTTTTCCAATAGCAAAAGTATGTTTTCACATGGAAAAACTGGCTTTTCACGTGGCAAAACTCTCTTTTCAAATGGCAAGGCTCTTTTGAAATGGCAAAACTCTCTTTTCAGATGGCAAAACTCGCATTTAAAATTGCAGAAATCCCTTTTCCAATCGCAAAACTCTCTTTTCAGATGGCAAAACTCTCTTGTCAGATGTCAAAACTCTCTTTTCAAATGGCCGAGCTCTCTTTTCAAATGGCAGAACACCTTTTTCAAATAGCCGAACCCATTGTCAAGTAGTAAAGCAATATTACACGTCGCAAAACTGATTTTTCACATAGCAAAACTCTCTTTTCAAATGGTAAGGCTCTTTTGATATCGAAAAACTTTCTTTTCCAATGGCAGAACTCTCTTTTAGGAAACAGACGTTCCAATACGGGCAAATTGTGATCTGCCCGTTAAGTAGCTTTCGAACCACTTCACTACCTCAGGAGATGCGGCAATGTATCTTAACTTATGAAGCAATGTTGGGTGATGTACGCTATCAAATGCCTTCGATAAATCTAATAATATAAGTGCAGTTACAGATTTCTGGTTCATAGCTTCCAATATTGTATCATGAACCAAAACGTTCAAAGTTTCGGAGGAATGATATCTTCTGTTACCGCTTTGATGCGATGTCAGGCATTCATTATGGAACAAAAATGTTGTAAATTGGCATAAAACGACCTTCTCCCAAATTTTTGAAACAACTATAAGTAAGGAGAGGGGACGATTGTTGGATGGCGGTTCATGATCTCCCTCCTTTATTAGTGGAATAACTTCTGCCTCCTTTCAGGATTGTGGGAACTCAGAAGACGTCAGTGAAGCATTAATAAAATCTGTTAATGGTCCGAGGATGACTGGTAAGCAGTCCTTAATAATGCGCATGCTTACTTTATCTTTACCTGGAGCCTTGTTGGTGGGCATGGACGTTATGTTTTTAACTTCAGAACAGGAGACAGGGTTAAAATTAAACATCTCAGATTCGTATACAGTGTAATTTCTATTAAACGCTGTAGTGGGTGGAGTATCAGGGTAAATATTATAATCTTGTAATAATTGAGATGCTGCTATGGCTGTGTTTTCCCTAACATAAGAAAAAAAGTGGTGAACTCTTCAGCAATTATCTTTGGGTCTTTGCTATAGATAACCTGAAGTTCAGGCCCTATCACAGAATAGGGCCTGACACAAAACCTATCAAAACTGTGGGATTCCCGTCCACCTGGTGGACGGGAAATCTGATTGGTTGATCAGCATCATGAAGGATTTTGATTGGTTGCAAGTTCACATAAACAACAGTTTTAAAAATAGCTCGGTCAAGGCGAGAATTAATATAAAGGTCAACCGCACGTAACAAATTCCAGTATCGGTTTTTTCGAATTTCTTTTCCTTTATGCTTTATGGCAGAAAATAAATCAAACATACAGTATTTTGAAAGGGCTTCATCAAAATCTTTGACGAATTTTGGACACACACACGACGCTGAAAGAACAGCCAAACTAGTCATGTATTCGAAAGCTTGTTGTTGACAGCCAAGATGTACTGCCAACTTGCTTCGCCGGCAAAAGTCTTATTTTTAATATCAGGTCCTACCGGCGTTGTTTTCTGAGCTACATCGCCTTCTTCGTGGTATGATTGGGAATTTAATTGTTGCTGTTATTAGTTAGAGTATATCCGCGTCCAGCAAGTTGAGACCTTGAGAATTAGCTTGGCAGTCAAGCCGTGCACAGAACTGACTAATTAAATCTTTGTTTGCTGTTCGCCTGTTCGGTTAAATAGAGAAACTGACTCTTAATTATATAAAAGTACCTTGAATTTTTAAGTTTAATTAAAAAGAAAAATGCTCTGTGGACATGTTCATAAGAATATAAATTTTTTGTGTAACGAAATCTACAACACTTGTCAATCATATTGCATGTGTGTCTAACAATAACATGTGGGCGTCCCACGGTCTAGACAGGTTTTGTGTCAGGCCCTATTTCAAATTAGGGCCTGAACTTCAGGTTATGCTATAGACGACCATCTCTTTTTCTTTGTAAGCTACAGTATCTTTTATAATTTTCCATAAGGAACTCGTTTTGTTCTTATGCTTCATCACTTCATTGTAGACATGATTGTGCTTTAATGATTTCGGTCTTTAACAGCGTTACGAGCTGCTTTGAAGTTGCACCAATCGCTGTAGTTTCGTGTCTTAAGAAAAAGACGGTGTAGTCGCTCTCTCTTGCACATCAGTTCTTTTATTTCAGGTGTCAGAAAAGGGCACGGTCTGCCACTGACTTTTAGGGTCTTTATTGGAGCATGAGAATCGAGGGTGGTCTGAAGTACGTCATCGAAAATTTTGAGTTTTTCTTTAATATCAGACTGAAAAGATGGAAAGAAGGCGTTCAGATTTAGATGCGAGATCAGCGGCAAATAATTCGGAGTCGTAGTTCCTATAGCTGCGAACTGTAATGTGGGTGGGTGGTGGTTTGGTAGACTTTAGCTTAAGCGTAACATATACGGGTAGATGATCACTGATAGTGCAGTTAAGGACACCACTGTCACGTACGGTATTAGGAGAACTGACTAAAATCACGTCAATCAATGATTGGCTAATGTCTGTGATGCGGGTTGGAGATTCGATTATTTGTTTGAGATTGAGTTCTGACGTCATTTCGGTTAATGATTTACATTCTCGACTTGTTGTGTTCAGCATGTTGCAATTTAGGTCTCCCAAGATGATGATCGGTTATCGCATACTACGAGCATGGACGTACTGAGGTTTAAGAGAATTTTCGAAACAGTCAAGTGGACAATCTGGAGGACGATAACAGACACAGGCCAGTAAAAACTTAGTTTTCTTATACTGCAAATTAATCCATAATTGATGGAAGCTTGTGTCAGATATCTGAGTAAGTTCTTTGATTACCGATGACTTTATGTTTTTACGAACGTATGCACAAACACCGCCACCTTTCTTATACAATCGATCCAGGCGATGTAATTTGTAACCATCGATTTCTAATTTCTTATTTGTTACCGTAGTGTTCAACCATGTCTCGGAGGTAGTAAAGACGTCAATTCTATTTGTTCTAACGAGTTCTTTCAACTGCAAGAAATGGCTGTGTTTCGTAGGGATCGTATATTTAAATGTGCTAACTTCAATTCCTCGGAAAGTTCTATCATCCCAACAACTTGCGATTCCGGTCCGAGAACGACTGCATTAGGATCGAGAGACTGGGATACTGTTTTAGAACTGGTGGAGACATAGATACAATTATTTTTTGCATGACCACGGGTTTTAGGCTTTTCCAAGGAAACACTAATCAAATTTTGCGCCCTATTTCGCACATTATATTTCTTATTAATTCGTTTCGAAATTATAACAGGAATTGTGTTTACTGTCTCATTGTCGCACGAACAAATGTCAGGTAATTTTGCCAATTTAAGTCTCGTTTCCGTTTCCAAAAGAAATCCTGATCATGCATTGGGAGCTTACTTCTTGTCGATTTTTTAGGTTGGTTTGTTTGATTTTGGCTAGCTTGTTGTTGTTGTTGTTGTTGTTGTTGTTTTTGTTGTTGTTGTTGTTGAACCCGATTAAACGAACGATTAGAAGGCTTGGGTACATTAATTTCAATTAATTTTGGGTACAATTCATTTTTGCCAATTGAAGTCTCGTTTCCGTTTCCAAAAGAAATTCTGATCATGCATTGGGATTATTTCTTGCCGATCTTTTAGGCTGGTTTGTTTGATTTTGGCTAGCTTGTTGTTGTTGTTGTTGTTGTTGTTGTTGTTGTTGTTGTTGAACCCGATTAAACGAACGATTAGAAGGCTTGGGTACATTAATTTCGATTAATGGTAAACTACCAATCTACTCAGGGGTTAGATTCCTCCCAAAATCCTCACTATGCATTGTGTCCGATGACATGTATGGAAAATGTCGCTGCTCAATTACATGGTTGACTTCTTTTGTGCATTCTTTACTATTCACCATAATAGAGACTTCATGCATGGTTGCCTTATCATTTAGGCAACCTTCAAGATTATTAACCAAACTTTGAGTACGATTACCATATTTTTGCATTTGTTTTTGTTTGGTCCCCTGATTAATGAGATCTAGACTTTGGTGATCGCATTGTTCGCTGTTCCAATTACCCATGTCATTACAATGGTTTGATGACTTTAGCATTTTTAAGCCGACAATTTCTTGTTTAAGGGCCACATTTGACGCTTCAATTAGTTCACTTTTTTTGTGAAGAGTGTCAATAATATTATTTGATTCATTTACCTCGGAATTTCGTCCTCTGACTAATATATCAATGTCTGCTTCTAAACGCTGAATTTTGTCATTTTGAAGATACTCTGTGGGAATATCGCCCAAATCAGCGGCCTTAGAAATAAGATTGGCCATCTCGTTGTGTATTTTTTTAAGTGCGTCCGATTGTTTATTAAATTTAGCTTCTGAAATTACAATATCTAACTTTACACCTTCCATTTCCACCCTGGTACACTGGCATTTATCAGACGAAACTTCAATGTTATTGGAGCAGTGTTCTACGAACGAACTATCGATAAAAATTAAAAGACAACGAATAACTTTACTTGCCTCTGGACCGTCAACAGCTAAAAATTTCTTTTTTTGCCACCATTGTATGTTAACATCACTCCTTGAAAATAACTTTTTCTCTCTGCCAGGCGAAGACCATGTCCCGACAATGTTTAACGACTCTTTGACAAACCGTTTGAGTGATTCAAAGTCTCCTGACCACGAAATCTTTAACTCAGCGATCGAGCTTCGTTGCATGATTGTTAATTGAGCAGTCTCATACAAAACGGTTAGTATGAGCAATGGTATGATACTAATACAGTTCTTTGGTTAAAATATAAAATTTATCGGAGCACAAAAATATACGTCCGCTCCGCTGGACTTCATCACCTGACAACATGTTGTGCGTGGACAGGTTGCAGAAAACAAATCTAGTACCACTTCAATTCCGAAGAGAATTTCTGATCTGATACTGCTGTTCAAATCAAAACACCTCATAACAATGGAGATAAACAAATATTTATGGACTTACAACCCTGGCTATCAATCTCGCAACTACAACAAAAATAACTTCAACCTCATTATAAAACATAACATAATCAAGAATACTTTCAAAACTTTTACTTTATCTGATCAGCAAAACTTTGGAACAGCCTAAATTAAGAAATCCAGTAGTTTATGTTCGTTTAAAACTTGTTTAAATAACTTATTTTTTATCAATTCAAAACATACAAACTTCCAAATAATCGTAGCTAATATGTAGTTTTGTGAAGTGTTTGTAATATAAGTACTAAGTATTTAGTAAAGTTCACTCACTACCTTGGTATACAAACAATCAGTATATCAGTTAGAATTTATATGTTCAAAAACTCGTTAATAATTCATGAACAATTATCCAATCTCCAGTAAGAAATTAGTCACGTGCATACGTCTTTATACCAGCTAAAGAACACTTTAACAATTAATATTATTATTACAAAAATCTTTACAGAGGGTAAAACATTTCAGTGCACAATACACTGTTATCAATATGTGCCCTCTCTACTTCTAAATTAAAATACAAGCAATAAAATAGATATAAAATAAGTTAGTTCAAAATCTATTATTCAGTCTACCTATTACAAAAGTCTTTCAAAAACTTAAAAATTAGGCTAAGTCAATTAAGACTACAGTTCACATGTACCTATTTATAATAGTCTTTAAATAGCTTAAGAAATTGGTCATAATCTCCTTCTCGTCTTATTTCGATTGGCAAATCATTATAGATTTTTGCACCCAAATAATAAAATGATTGTTTCGCCGATTTCAATTTGTTATTACATTTATTACGCAAACGCTTGTACATATTCCAATCTTCGATATTTTTTGTTTTACGAGCTTTTGTTAACAACCGGTCCCGGTCAGTCATGGTATTTCTCAAATCATGATGCATCCACGGACAAGATTTGCCCTTAACTCTCTTTACAATAAATGACGCATGCCGGTCAAAGTTTGTTTTCACAACACCATGAAAATTATTCAAAGCCACGTTGACATCAGTTGTATTGTATACTGGTTCCCAATCAACAGTTTCAAAATCATTATTCATATTGTTTACATTGTATGATGCATAATTACGGCACGTAATGACTTTCGGTGTATATTTAAAGTGATTTATCTTTCTAATGCATCCAACCATGTCATGGTCACTTATACTCGTGGCAAAAACACTGGAATAAATATACTTATTAGTGGCGATCAGATCAATCAAAGTGGATGATTCATTCGTAATCCGCGTAGCCGTCTTAATTAGTTGTTTAATTAAAGCCAAACAGTTGAAATATGCTTTTAATTTCTTTGTTATCATTGGGTTTCAAATAATCAACATTAAAATCTCCCAGGATAATGATTTCTTTATTTTCCTTTGTCCCATTTAAAAGCATGTCATTAAAGGTCTTATTAAATTCATTAGGTACGTAAACCGAACTCCCTGGAGGTCTATAGAAGGTCGCAATCAGAATGCTTTTTGATTTTGCAATGAATATCTCGAGCCAAATACTTTCTATGTCGTCCGTTTCTAGGTCATACCTTCTTCTCCATAGAATATTATCCTTTATATAAAGGGCCACACCGCCAGCATGTCCCCGCTTCCGATTTCGTTTGATAAACTTATAACCATCAATGATAAATAAGCCTTCAATATCATCATACTGTTTGTCACAGTGGCGTAGCCAGAACGATAATTGGGGGGCCCATATTCATATATTCGTGTTCTGCTTTATCAATTTCTTTTGAAATCAATTGTTTTTATGGTATGTGAACACGAATATATGAATATGGGCCCCCCAATTATCGTTCTGGCTACGCCACTGGTCTGTCAACGATATGAGGTTCTGATAACGTCATAATATCCACACCCTTGTATCGATCGAAAAGCTCTTGAACGAAATTTGAAAATAGTCCTCTTATATTATGGTGAAAGACTTTGAGACCACGACTATTTATAAACTCTTCGAGTGGCACATGAAATGGACCAGGGCACGATTCTATATCACCACAAAGCATCAATAAAACCATAACCATAAACTTATTTGAATAGCGACAGGCAAACTCTCTTTGACCACGTTCTTGTTTCAGATTCCACAATGACGAGAACACACGCGTTTCAATCGTTTTGCCCATATCTTCGTATCCTAGTGTAACACTAAAGACTATTGTTATGCAAACTATATAAAGATTTTTATATAAAGATTTTTATATAACGATTTTTATATAAAGATTTTTATATAAAGATTTGACTTATTATGCAAACGTTTTTGAAGCCATTTAAAAAACTCGCAGGTCGTGTTTTATTAGGTCTAAAGCCACTCGCGCTGCGCGCTCGTGACTTTAAACCTAATAAAACACTCCTGCTCGTTTTTTAAATAGTACATCAAGGTCAGACTGGTGTTAAGTAAAGTGCATATTACATGAAATTTATGCAACTCTTTAAGTTGCATAGTGTAACTTATTTTTCAGTTTCTTGTTTTTATGGTTTGTTCCAGAGATATTTCAATTTGTTTGATATGTAAATGAGTGTGAATATGTCCGCTAATTTATGACGTCATGTTGGTTGCAAGCTCAACTTACACTGGTTATAAATGTATTAACTTTAAAAACTGTTGATATTAGTTTCCGTTTTTCTCCAGTGTTTCATCACATTTACCAGTGAGTGAAGTTTGAAATTATCATCTTGGATGATAGCAGTGATATTTAACCATTTTAAAGAGCTTGCAACCAACATGACGTCATAAATTAGCGGACATATTCACACTCATTTATATATCAAACAAATTGAAATATCTCGGGAACAAACCATAAAAATAAGAAACTGAAAAATACGTTACACTACAACTTAAAGAGTTCTTTCATTTAAGAAAATAAAAAATTTCATGTCATATGTACTTTAAGCTTCGTTTCTTCTCACACCGAGAAAGTGCCCATGGAAGTATGTAGGTATAGACAGTATTGGCACATGGGTTGAGGTATTAATTGGAACGTAAGTCCTGTTCCACATTCCAGTCACGTGTGTTGTCTTGTAGCATGTTATATGTATTGTTTATCAGTGTCATTGTAAATATTTGTGACTAATTTAATAATAATAGGTTGTTTTAAGATTCTTTCGTTTCTAAATTATTGCACATTTAACTTAATTCAGCTTATGGCTGCAATGTAATGCATTCATCCGTCCGTCCATGCATCCATCCTTATTTTATCCTTATTGCGCCATTAGGCATTACAAATACAATATCATATTTCACACTACAGTTTTCACGTTTCCATAGCTAACTATTAGAAACTGTTGTTCCATGAATTTTATATTGATATGACACCAATATGCTAAAGAAGTTATCCTTTAAAACTACGTTGTGTAGTTTAATTTATAACCTTTTACTTTGAAAGTGTCTTTGGCTCGAATATCGGTATCGCGCTATCGGCAAAATATCGGTCACTCACTACATTTTACCCCAACCTAATCATACATGTAACAGAAATACTGTATTTAATATAACAAAAGGTTTGTTATTTCGTAAAAATTGAGAAACGTACAGTCAAAAACTTATATAAACTGGGGTTGTAGGCGTATTGCTGCATCACAACTACAAGCTCAAAGAGTATGTCTTGGACCGTCATTTTAACTGGTGTATAATAAATCCTTATCATTAAAGTAAACTTAAAATTTATGAAGAAACTTCAAAAGAAATGAATGTGTAATCGATGTTTGTAAATCGGATAAAGATTTGTCCTCGTTTACATAAAATTCAGCTTTGATTTTCTCGGCTTAGAGAAGGTTTATTTTTAAAATTACTTCGCCAATGAACTCATAAGATGGATCGTTTTTTAAGTACGATAAAACATTCGCATCCGATCTTTATCTGATATACAAACTCTCTCCTTCGGCTTTACTTTGTATGTTATAAAGACCGGTTGCTCATGTTTTAATCTAGTACATAAATGTATGAAGGAAAAGAGGTAATTATGTCTTCTGAGGTAATCATAATTATCGCAGTCACAGAATATTAACTTTGTACTGGTTTGGTGTTAGGTGTAAAAACTACTTCAAAACGAACAAGTTTGCGACTCGTGAACATTCTACAAAAGAATTTGATTTAGCGAGGGAGAAAGCGTGTAATATGATAAAATGTAAACAAAATAGTTAACGTTGTTATACATATGGTGAAGCACACTACAATTTCATTGCACTACCAGTACTGAACAACAGTCTTTTTTCTTTGGACTTCCCTTTCTTTCGCCTTGCTTTGCCTCCATTGCGTGCGTTTCCTGTCAAAGAAATTTAAACAATAGATTATGACATGTTATAATAATGTTATGTTATAATTTTTGTATCTGCGAAGCAGATATATTGCTATCGCAAACGTGACCGTACCGTTACCGTACAGTACCGTATGTTAGCACATAGCCATTCAGCGACGAGCTTATATAATTTAAGCCAATTTAAGCCAATCAGCGATCAGTTTACATATTGTGTTTACATCGGGCCCCCATCTAACCTACGAACGGGCGTAGTTTTGCCTCGTGTAGTCGTGTTATTCTTTGCCATTTTCACATTTTGGCTTCAAAAGTATCTTGATTTTGTCTTGTTTTCGCGTGCCATTCTACTTGTGATATTATCCCGAAGTTATCTATCAACATGGAAACTTATCCTCGTCTGGTAAGTAGTCAAGTACCACAAATTTATTATATTATATATTAATGTAGTAAAACAATCATTGTGTTGTGTAATATTTTAAACAGTAAAAACATAGCAGGCAATATATTTGTCAATGAACAATGTCACAGGAAACTAATGTTCTCAGGAGATATTAAATTAAATCCTGGTCCTGTATTTCTGTATTAAACTCTGTTACATTTTGGTTTTACACATTAGAGTTTATAATAATTAAACAAAATTTTTACAAACATTTTCAAATGCTAATAAAAGAATCCCCACCCTCCACCCTCATTACATTGTTATTCTGCTTTCTAAAATAAGTGTTTTTGTTTAGAGATTAATGCAAGAATGATGAATAAATGTACTGGATATTGGCGAGATAATTTTGTCAAAACAACCCACTTGCAAAGACAATCTTACCTAAATTCATTAGTATGGATAATAGCTTTACAGCTACAATAATCATATATTTTATGGATGGATCAGATCAATGGCACACAATATGAACAAAACTAAACTACTCAAACCGATATTCTCCTACAACACACATTGTTTGTGTGTGGATATGCTTTGTTAAACCGAACAGTGTGGTATATCATTAGCCGTGCACAGAATTGGAATTGAATTATATACTTCACTCATGACCTTCAAAACATTCTCTACTATTCAGTGGTCTTCGATATATGATTGACTCTTCGCTACAATAATGCATGTTCCTCGAATAGTTTGTGTATGTTACTCAACATTCAAAAACTCATTAATAATTCATGAAGCAATTAACCAATCTTGAGTAAGAAATTAGTCACGTGCATACGTCTTTATATCAGCTAAAGAACACTTTAACAAAAGACCATTGTTATGCAAACTATATAAAGATTTTTATATAAAGATTTTTATATAAAGATTTTTATATAAAGATTTGACTTATTATGCAAACGTTTTTGAAGCCATTTAAAAAAACTCACATATCGTGTTTTATTAGGTCTAAAGCCACTCGCACTGCACGCTCGTGGCTTTAAACCTAATAAAACACTCCTGCTCGTTTTTTAAATAGTACGTTAACGTTGGCAAGTGTAAACAACAAGTGACAGAACTTTTGCTTCATATGATTACAATAAAGTTTTGACAATGGGTATGGATTGACAAGTGACAGTTTACTAAATATAGACACTTCAAATATTGTTTGCATGAAATTTTTAATTTTTGACTGCATAGTTATTCAGGTTACAATCATAATCAGATAAAATTAGTTGCCCCTGCTGCCCTCCGTGCTGTCTACAGCCTTGTTAGATTTGTACTATGTTTGACTTCAAAATCTTATTTGCTATTATATTTATTATAATAAGTGATGAAAATGCGAATCAAGTTTTTTCGCAGATACATGTACGCGTCGCGTACCTACTTTTTTATAACGGGATTGTCTCTAGGGGAAATTTTCCAATGTTTTAAAATGTGCTTTTTATTTTAAAAAATCATTTAAAAACTTTTTGGCAACTGACGAAACGTTTGAAGCAGTTTCGGTGGAAAATTTGAACTAAAAATTAGGGGACGCCAAATTAGGGAAATGTTCAGTGTATAATAATATACATAAAGATATTACTCGACTGTGATTGGTTGATTTCAGTGCAGTTAATCCCAAACAGCAGTGCAATTTTCTGTAATCACAGTGCAATTTTCTGTAATCACAGTGCAATTTTTTGTAATCACAGTGCAATTTTCTGTAATCACAGTGCAAAAATCTGTAACAAACTGATGTGATTGGTGGAAAAACATTGTGGTGATTAAATCAACCAATCAGTTTAAAGCAATTTAGTTTAAAGAAGTAACGGTCACAGATTGCTTCAAAACAAAACAAACATGGCGCCGCGCTACACAAAGTAAAAGTTGCCTTCGCGTGGAAAATATGGCTTTTATCTTTATTTTTCAATGGAAAAGCATTTACCTTAAACAAGACTAACAAAAAATACATAGTTGAGTGGACTTTTCAAGCTGTTAGCGTTGTATAATATGATATAACAAAGCCAGGAAAACTTTGCCAGTGGAATGTTCGCTATAAACGCGTAAGTTAAAACTACAATTGTCATCGTTACGATTTAAAGAGAGTATCATTGAAAAGCTAAATAACAGTTCTTTCGTCGTACGTAAATTGTTTAATTAATTATTTGGCCACGTTTATTCGAGGCACGACAACCTGTGAATTTCCATATTCCATAGACACCATGCAGATTCATAAACATATGTAAATAGTTACTGTGACTGTCTTTTATGTACTATGTTCTTGTGGCAAAAATTTTAATTAAAAAAACCCCAACAAATTGTAAAACTTTTTTTCAATTTTTAAACATAAACATTTATAAGAATTGATTTAGTTATGAGAAATCATAAAGTATATATAGCCTATAGCACAAGTTTGTTTCAATTGTTTATGTATGACTCTGTATTTGATTATAGACTTCGTTCTTGTTGTTCAGGTCTTTCCTATGCATTGTATGCAAAAGTTTCTTAATTACTACGCATTTCACTGATATGTGCATTCCGCATTTTTTCTCGCTTCCGAACGGAGTTCGACGGTCGACGCAGGCCTGGTTACAAAATTTGGCGCCTTTTCAAGTTTTCATCAATACTTCTGTCATTCAAGACAAGACATTGACTATTTATATTAACATCGGAAAATTTAAACTTGAAAAGGGGCCAAATTTTGTAACCAGGCCTGCGTCGAACGTCGACCGCCGACCGTCGAACGCCGACCGTCGAACGCCGTTCGGACGCCGTTCGGACGCGAGAAAAAATGCGGAATGCACATATCAGTGAAATGCGTAGTAAATTAACTTTTGTAGAAGTTCATGATAAAAAGCAAAGTGCCAATAATAACTTGTAGCTCAAGTTGAAGAGTTTAAAGTCGGCAAAAAGCAGTTAATTTCAATTCACATTTAAAAACGTTTTACGTAGACTTTCGTTTTGAATTTTATATTAAAATAAAGCTCATAGAATAATATACCAAAATAATATACCTACTTTATATATTTTAGAAATTGATAGTTCTGTATTTAATAGTGTTCAAATTTCATTTTTTTTTTGCAGGTTTGTACAAAAAATTAAAACAAACAATTATCGTGTTGCCATGACTAACATGACGCAAGCAACGCGAGCCTGCGTTCAGTGTTGGCGTAATTACGAATACTTCATGTTGAAACAATGTTTGGAAAATATAGGCGAGGGGTTTTTGCATGCGCATGTATTTCCTGTAGATATATACAATTGTAAATCGCACTTCTTAAGGTAACCTAAAATTGACTACTTAAATCACTTATGCATGGTTATAATTTTATATACAAAATTTGTTAATTATTTATAGAAATAATTATTTTAGAATCCATTTCTGGAATATACTCTACAATCTATATAACAACTTTCCACTCCAACATTTCGCCAATAATTCAGCGCACTCAATGTTCACCCCGCCATTTTCGCAAAAACAACAAATGCCTTTTTTTCGCGCTATGGATGACGGTATTTTTGAACGCTAACTACTCGATATTTTAAAATTCTCCTCCTAATATTATTGGGACTACCTACACTGGAACAGGCATTAGAAACTATTGGGCTCCCCACGAATGAATGCCTACAGTTGTGTTGTTCTCTCTTTGCATTTGAGGAATGTTGGGGATCCTAGCTGGCCACCCAGATAAATCTTACCTTGTAAGATGTCCTCCGTGCTTAGGTTACGATCTGCAATCATAAGTGCATCTGTAAAAGCAGATTGAAACGAAGGAACAGGTTCACACTCATCATCCTCTTGATCAGAACATTTTTCATTTGTATCTGTACAAGAGCCTAAATTATAATATAGTATTTATTTTACTATAAATCACCAGGTTGATTGGTGGCCAGGAACCAATTCAGATTTAAAAGACAAAATTGTTTAAAATTACATTGTTATACTTTGTGTGTTGGTGTTATGTACTCAGGTGAATATGATGTTTGTAGTGTTATTCTGAGTGTGCATCCACACCGGGCAAGCTGTAAAGTTTGCCTGACCACAGGCCTCGAAATAAATCTGGACGTTATACCGGTCATTATGACCGGTGGATCACTAAATTTACCGGTCACAGCGGAATTTATTACGGTCATTGTTACTCCTTAGCTTCTTTTTTCCCCTCATCGTTCGCGTGACTCGTAACTTTAGAAACAATTGTGTAGTCTAATTGTATTTGTATACAAAGTAGGCGTTTATCAAAGCTGTAGTAGTAATCATTACTAATAACACTAACATTGTCTACTAGCAAATTAATATATTAAGTCGCAAATGACAACTGTAGTTTGAGTTGCGAGCATGCTTTAAGGTGGCTCCCTACAGTTATTCTTGTTTAAGCAACAATTCCGTAAAACAGGCTTATTCGTGCAGAACGCGAATTCTTTTCGACTTGGTGGTAATATTGGTCACCTAAGGAATATTTCGAACTAGATTTCGACGATGTCAATGTTCCCATGGCAACATGACGACAGCATAAAGCCTTCCAATTTAACCCATAAATGTGCCGCTATCTCAAAAACGATGTCGGTGACCTATCTTTTTTATTTCATATATCAATAAGGAATGATGCTCTGCAACTGTTGTGAAAGTTTAAAAAAATTCTGTAGTGTGTGATTTTTTTAAAAGCGAAAAATTTATTGCGAAATTTCCACACTACAGATTTTTTTAAAATTTGAAATTTATAAAATTTACCGCAAAATAAATTCGTGGTCAAAATTTGAAGATAGGTCACCGATGAAACTAATGAGTAAAATGCAAATAAAGTTAGAAAATAGCCTCGTGTAACTCGAGAAATTCCCCTATTGAAAAGCGTCGCTGACTAGTAAAAGATTGTACGCGGGCGCAGAACGAGTTTTCATTCAGCAAAATCGAGCCGCAATGTTGTTTTTACTGTTTTGTTTTTGTCAACTTTTCGATTTATTTGAGTGCTACGGACAGCCAAGGATTATTGTGAAGGATTAAATCGATGAAAACAAGGTTGAAGCTAATTGAATCCTGCCGTTTACTCAATCTATGAGCTGTAACAGCCTATTAACAGGTGGACGTGTTTTTTTGTTTCATGTTTGTTTTTGTACTTTTTGCTAAAAATGAACAATTAGGCTATGAAACTGAAATATTTTTCTGTTTACATATAATCACTTTAATCTTGTAGAAACACGACTAAAAACGTGAACGTTTTCTTGAGAAGTAAACAACTTTTTAAACGTTTGTATGCAATTTTGCAAATGTTTTACAGTTGAGTCAGTTGACAGTGTATAAAAAAATTTAAAAATATTGTTTTATAGCTATTTTTGGTCTAGTGATATTCGTATCGTATGTAGAATTGCTGTATAGACTCGCAAGTGATTTGGCACTCAAAACGAAGTATTATTCAACGCTTTTTTCCATTAGAAACCTTTCAGAAATAGCTTTATTTTTAAAAAAAGCGTGGTCAATTTTTGTTTTGTTTTGATCATGCAGTTGCGTGGGATAGTTCACGTACTGGTCCCGCGAACATCCCGCACGCAACTGTAGGGAGCCTCCTTAACTACACTGTGAAGCCACATGACTTAGATTGACACCCCTCTATTAACATCCCATTTCTAGCAGGATAGCAGAACTTGCGGCAATGAATTAAGATTAGATAGCTTATCCTAACTGAACATACGTAGAATGTGCATGACAGAACATTAATTTACAAAAACTGTTAAAATATTTCAAGATACAGTTTAAGATACGATATTAAGTGAGTATTAGGCCTAAAGGCCTAATATTACGTGATTCAAGCATTTTAGGAACTAAGTAAACTTGTAATTTGAGCCCCATTTTCCCATAAATATGTCGAAAGAAAGCAAATATATAAAAAGCGCCGGAAAATTCTTGACTGAGCCGACAATATATACAAACAATATTCAGTGATATGACACTTTTTGCGCAATTTCGGTCGGGATAAAGAAATTAATTTAGCCCCCCCCCCCCCCCCGCACGCCCTACTAACTTCTCCCCTTTCCTCCCCATTCACAAAAAAGAAACACAGCTATCTTTAACAACTGACGTGCAAAAATTCATCTCTAAGTGTTGGCTAGATCAACTTAGTTAACAATATTACTGCCATAGGCGTATCCAGACTGACGTAACTGATCGAATGCATGCATCAGTCAAATTTTTCGCACGAACAAGAATTCCTCAATAACCTTTCTCTCCAGCAACTTCCTTTCCAACGTGCCTGAACGAAAAGTTCCTGGAACTTCAAAATTTCGTTCATTGCTTCTGTTATAGATAAGCATTCATTTCAGGAAAGTATTTATTACAATCGTTTTGCTATTATATAGCTAATATACCTGTATTACGCTGCTCGTATCCACCAAAGTTTTGTCATGACTGTATTTCAGCGAGTAAGACGCTCCCCATTTTGTCTGATTTCTATTACCTATGACCGAAACTTGTGTTATGTAATATTCCTTTTGAAGATCGAGTAAAAGATACGAGCCAGGTCTCGCAGAACACCAACCACTTTCAGCAAACCTCGCATTATCATAATTATTGGAACCACCACTGCCAGAAAATACTTGGTTTGGAAAGGTGCGTCTGTCTTTGAATAAAGGTTTATCACATGTATTGCTTATAGTGAATAATACAAAGGCAAATGGTGTAATTAATTGCAAGAGGAATTATCGACTACATGGTGTATAAAAAAGAACTGAACCCTTTCAAATTCAACATTCAAATTAGCTATAACGTATTGAAGTAATTTGACAGCTCTAATTGCTATGAATTAACGGTTGGGTTAACCTGCGATCAGGCTCTATTTTACAAATAATAGCCTGACACAATCCTTAATCCGATTGCTTTCCACCCACAGTTTGGTTTATATTTAGTATCCAATCAAAATGTCGCAGGAGAAATTTAAATTTCACACAACGACAACAACAATCTAATTATAGTTGTAATCATTATTTATATCAACGACAATATAGCCTATACTGTAATTAGCACTAACCAATCAAATGACAAATTAAAACATCTTTTGTCTCATAAACCAATCAGATTTACAACCGAAATACGGTTGAGATGAGGAGGTGAGATGAGTAGAGGTCTTCTTTAAAACTATTCCTCATGAAAAAATTTTCCAAACGCTTGTAGTATAAATACTGTTTTGTTTTCAATAATATTTACAAGAGCCTTAACAAAATTTCCGTTGTTTTTAGGTCATTTTTTTGGTATATACAAAAACAAATACTCACCTTACTGTCACTGAACAGTACAAGGATATATTTACTTCGATCAATCAATGGTTTGGTTTCGATGAATATCCTTACACTATTCACCTCTACTTCGGTGAATATTTGTTAATTATAAGCAATCCTGATGATCTGCATGTGGGCATACGTGGTGTTCTCGATGAACATAAACGAATTGTAATTATACCATGGCTCGTTAGACTACAACCATAGGCAATTTAAGCTGATTTTATTGCCGCAACTCGTGCGCCATACTCGCACATGGGCCTACATTTATTGCAAATGGCATGTAAACATCTCAAGTGCATGGTTGTAGAAGAAACAAGATAAACACAACGGGTCGGGGTGTTCCACTTGATCCAAGCAAAATTAACGTACATTGACAAAAGAAACTTCACGATTCCTCTTACTTTTTAAAACACTTTGTGTTATACATGGGAACACATTAAAAATACATCATTATTATTATAATTAAATAATTGGGTGCTTTTTAGAGAAGGAGATGCCTATTTCAGATAATTGTTTAAATAATCAATCCTTTATTATATAAGGTGGTACATGCATGTTTCAGCAAACCTATCTGCTACGTTTACCTGCTTTCTTGGTGATAAAAGACTTAGAAACTTCATTGCTCTTTTGATAAAAACCATCTTGAGTCT